AGTAAGTTAAAGGTAAACAGTATGAAATTATAAAAAAAGTTTTTTTACAAATACACAAAAGATGCCTTTATAGCTGTGATACTGTGGCCAAGATTGCCATAAAGAGACATTACAGAACAAATGATATTTTAAGAATCCCCATTGCGATCACGAACTTGACATTTGAAATTACTCTTGTAAAAATGTGGAAATATATTTATTACTAAGAATAGAGGTCAACTTAATTGTTGTTGAAATGGTTCATATAAAAAACTCAAGAGATTTATATCACATATGAAATCGAGGTTAATTAATGCAACATCCGTTTCTATGGAGATTTCGAATCGCAAAAAAATCTTTATGTAAATATCTTAACCGGCTTGATTAAAATATATCGAATATGTGTCTCGTATTTCACGTCACGTGACTTAGATACCGAATTGTCAGACATGTAACATGTTTAATCTTATCTTAAAGTGCATTATCCATTTTTTTTAAAGATAAATCTTTATTTTAATTGTATATTTACATATCATTTGTATCCAACCTGTAACCGCCTATATGTAGTTTAGGCAATAAATGTGAATGGACTTTTATTTCATATTTGCAAAACAATAGAATCTATTTAAGATTTTTTTTTCTTTCCCTTGCCTTCTGTGTAGATAGAAAGAGCACCGAAACACGAGGCTATCTGATTTGTACTATAAATCAGATTGCCGAGTGTTTTGGTGTTCTTTCTCTTTTGTATCATAGTCAAACATAAAAGCACGTTCCCTGTTGTCACAATATGAAACCCCGGCAAAAATGAACCAATGAACGAACATCTGCATATGACATTTCTGTCGCTTTCCCTTTCTCTGCCGTCACAATATGTAAACCCCAGCAAAAATGAGCCATTCTAACACGACCCGCACTTTTCCCTATTGAACATAGAAGAACAGAAAGTGTGTGTTATATGCAACAGATGCACAGTTTGACGTTCTATATTTAGACATGTGACGTAATCATTATACACGTGACGTTACCACTAAAAATCCGACGCGCTGAAAATAAGTACGGAAACAAATCAGGCGCAAATTTGCTTAACTATCAAGTACGGCAATATTTGTTGATGTCGTGTTAGAATCGAAATAATATATCCAAATCAGTGATTTTATCGCTTGATAACATCACTGTTTGTCGTTCGGATGCGCATCATTATATCACTCGGGCTACGCCCTCGTGCTAGAATTCCTCGAATCCGAACTCCAAACAGTGATGTTATTGAGCGATAAAATCACTGTTTGGGATATATTATTTCTTAAATCAATGGGCATGCTCTGGAGTGCGGGTAACTAATACCCGCACTCCAGTTAACGCACTGTGCATGTATATGTATACGATTTAACCCTGACTCATTTTCAACAGAAAGGTCCCCGAACTATGATACAATTGCTTGTTGTTGTTTCTGATGTTGTTTTTGTTGTTGTTGTTGTTGTTGTTGTATTTTGCAATTGTGCATGTTTTCTAAGGCATTGAAACGTAAATTAAAAAAAAATCGGTCAGCAATTGTTAATACCATTCAAACTAGAAAATACGTATAACCAATCATTTTTTATTGTTCTTTCTTACCTAAAATTAAACTGTTTTAAATGCCAACTACTAGTATTATGTGTGCGTTATGTTACTTCTATCTAATTGATAGTCATTCTAGATCTATTGTAATTTATTGCATCAGGGAAGACATGTTGAAATGTTGAGAAAACTTATGGGTCAACCCTTTTGCCAAATATGTTATCGAAGAACTGACTTGAAATAGGACTTTCAAAAATAAAAATAGCAAATATCCGTCCTCATTTATGTTTCACATTCCAGTTCCTGATTTATTACGAATAACTGCACCAAATATGCATTTATAACTGTATTTTGTCTTTTGATTGGCTGACATTAAAATTTATTGCGTAATATATTTAAAAGGATTTATGTAAAGTTTTACAATATGCCATAAATCGGACAGAAATAATACATATACCAACGCCCTACTCGTGATCAAAATGCACGCAAATACTTCTCTTCATTATATACTAATGAAAAAAAAAATTGAAAAATATTGATAAAATGAAATGCATATTTTCATTCACCGAATTTTCACTTATTTTTTCACTGCAGTGAAACATATTTTCCGTATTTTCACTGTCTTGCCGGACTACTTTCTTCTAAATTCAGCCAATATTCGATATCAAAACAAAACAAGAAATCACGAAGTTCTATTTTGAACATATAATGGCATTCCTTGATTTGATCTTGCTGGAAACGCATGGTGGTGGTGTGACATGGGTTCGAGTCTTCACCAGGGACACAGACATACATGCCTATCCTCATATGATGTGATTTGTAGTTTTCACTCAGTATAACGGCAGTTAGCCACATTGAATTTACCAGACTGGCAGACTGGCAGACTGTCAAGCAGTTTACCAGTACTAGCTGCCTTCACTTTCGCGAGTAACTGATAACTTCTGTCATGGCAGAGCAGAGGTACAGTGCAAAAGACCGTAGAAAGGATTTCATGATCAATCACAACGAAAGTGCCCTGGTTTCATATGCTTTATATATATATATATATGTATAATTTATTTCTGCGCATGCGTGTAAGTAATGCTAATATTGCTTATTAAAATCACTTCACTAATAAGTACAAATCAAGGATTTATAAAAACAGTAAATATTAATACTGTTAACTTATATAACATACATTGTTTGTTTTATACAATGATATATTTTGGCGATGATGATGCATTGCTATTCTTCTGACGTACGTGTCTAGCTATTGTCGGAAATGCAAACTTAACTAAAATTTATAACAAAAATTGCTATATAAATATAATAGAAAATTTATATATTATATTATAACCTATTGAACATATATCATTTTTACAAAATTCATCAAATTATTTTCCTTTAATATTAATGTTTGCTCCCGATGTCTGGCATTTTAAAGATGATATTGAATGTAGGCCAAAGTTTAGACGAGTATATTATACGTTACGTGATGTTCAAATGCTTCACAAATTTAGTCACGCAATGTCTATATCTTTTTATGTGAAAAAAAAATATTCCAAATGCAAACAATATTTTATATAAAGAATGATAGATAGAGAAAATATAGAAATTACTAGAGCCACGTAATGTGCTGGTTGTTTGTTTTTTATATTGTTGTGTTTTTTGTGTTTTTGTTGTTGTTTTTTTGTTGTTGTTGGTCTGTGTTGTTGTTATTTTTTATTGGTTGTTGTTTTCTCCTTATGTGACAAGAGCAGAGTGAATTTAAGTCTACTTTTATACTTGCACGTTCCATGCAAACAGCTTGAAACTGCCTTAATTAGATACTTTATTTAAGTGAAATTGAACAAAAGGCAGTATCTGGTGATGCTAAATGTCTTTTTAACAAGAGAAAGTGCGTAATAAAACTGTAACACACGCAAATTCCATGCATGAAAATGTAATTAATTTTGCATTTGTTAACGTTATCTAAAGATTGAAGTAAAATCGAACCATTTGATTGTTACTTGTCATATACATGTATAATGATGATAAACAGCGTTTGTGTTATCGCCTACCCCATAGCACATTAATTATCTTAATTTTTATTGGACTTAATTGGACTGGATCATATTTCATTCAAAACCATTCATCATTTTTAGAGAAATTGTAACAGTTAAGAACCCAAAATTGGTTTGATTTCATCGGCCGGCAAATGATATTGAACACAGTATTTTTCATTTTTATCATTTTACAAAAGCAAGCCGTCAAATTTTATATTTGAATCATTGAAATGTTTAATTTTTTCCAGAATGTTTTCTAGAAAGTACAACTTCTGTATAAAATATTTATTATAAAAGTATGCTTGCAAAATCAAGAATGGCATTTCTGTTCAGAACTTAAATCTGAAACATATTCAAAGATATATAAAAATTGCCTTCAAGACTTTGTACTATAACAGTTTGATTTCGATACATGTAGAATCTTGTTTTGCCGATGTTTATTAATTTGCATGAATTGTATCAGTATACTTTCTTGTTTTGAAACAAATGCTTGCTCCATCCCTCAAGGAAAAAAATAAACTCAAACTATCACGGAATCATGTAACTGAAGTAGTTCCAATATGTCGCTTTATTTTTAAGAGGTCTATATCAAAGCAAAATAGCCGAGGAGATCAGATTGGGTGGAGTAATGACAAAAAATCAATCCATTACTTCAGATAGATAATACATTTACAATGATAGTTGATATAGTTATATTGCGGGAATAAGGCCAGTGCCATTTTGGTAGAAGTATTGGTCGAGAACTTGGCTGGTCGAGCACAGGTACAAAAACTTGCAATTTGTTACAATAAAACTTACACTTAATAAAATAACAGACAGGACAAGTTACTGCAGGTAACCACCAATAATACAGATCACCTAAAACGTCATCCGCTGATATTTAACAGATCCAAAAATGTCGATTGTTTTTTCAGCTTAAAGTTCTCTGGAGCCTACTAAAGTGACACTGTACAAACATTTTGACATACAATGTATGTACCTTATTCACTCGTGAAAAAATAACAAATAGATCAAGTATAATGTCACTTAATTGCCTCCGTATTCTTGACATCTTATTTAAAGGCGCATTATGCCTCAGAAATCTATTTCTTTTTTTAATTCTTAAGAAATGTCAAACATGTGTTTTAAATCAATAATGTTTTACAAATGGATAACGAGAATGTTGAAATTTTCAACAACTGACGAAAGTTGCGCTGAATGCGCAGCAATATGTCTTAAAGTAGCAAAATATAAACATAGTAGTATTTTGACTTCCATACAAAATACTCACTCACTATGTTTATCTCCATTAAAAAAGTAAAAGGTAGTTCATCTATGTGACAAATGGGTAGTTTTTGAAAATTGTAACAAGATACCAAAAATAAAAATAATTAAGAAAAGTCTGAGGCTTAATGGTCCTTTAAAAATGTATAATTTTCACAACGGTGACCAATGTTTACATACCATGCCACTGTAGACGGTGGAAAGACGCGTTGTGTCACTTTCGACATTTGGGCTGTTAAAGTCGTACTTTTTGCCTTTGAAGTTCATTTCGTCGGAATCTACTTCGTCTTGTTTACCTCTGCAAAAAGAAGAAGCATTTTTTAATGAAAGATATATATCACATATATACGGTGGCATAAAGGGGCCATCAGAAATATTGTATCTACCACGTGCGCACGCAACGCGCAACATATTACGTGAGCACGCAAGAGCTATTACGTAATGATTGACCAACGTAGGGCTATCGCGTGCGCACGTGATAGATAAGATATTTCTGATTTCCCCTCTATGCCACCGATATGGTTCTAGTACAAATGTAAATCGGATCAAAGTAAGAAAACAAGAAGAACAACAAAAAAAGAAAAGGGAAATCAGACACACTTATTTGTCTTACAATATCACAGAGTACTACTTAAAGGCACATTATGTCCCAGAAATGATTTTATTTCAATTCATCGAAAGATTATTTTTTTTGCACTGTTATAATTTTCAGAATGTAACTAATTGGACAATTTCCTTTGATTGCATTTATGCTACTTTTATGACAAGTAATTTTATAATTTCAAATTCAGCTCTACTTTCCTTAGGTGATAAGACTCCTGCATGTTCTAAAACAATTATTTGAATGTTATAAAATTCATTCATAAGAAGGAAATATATATATCTTCATTTCTGAGTCATAATGTGCCTTTAAACAATGTCTTAAAGCTCTTCATGATAGAAAAAACAAAATCTATCAGAAAGAAGAATTCTGCTTTGCGCCTTCAGATTTTGAAATGATTATGTTACATATGCGCGTGCGTTGGTGTGCGGGCGCGTGCGTTTTGATGCGTGCGCTAGCGTGCGAGTGAATTTGTTAAATGGATATAGAAGAAAATCAAATAATGATTTGAACCTATTGTCTTTCTATCTATCATCAAGGTAATGCGTTTATAAGGTAATTTTGCTGTCTGCAAAGAAACGAGTTTTTGCAATATAATACTTGAGAGTCTCTTTCACCGCTGATAGAAATGAACTTATTGAAGCAATCCTATTACCGACTTGAAAATAAAATTGTATTAATTACTTTTATTTCAAGCAATAAGAAGCTTAAAGGAGCGCCAACGGGGTTAAAAAAGGCTTAAAGTAAACAATATTTTTACGTAGATCAAGCGAAGTACTTAAAATGGAGACAATCTGCAAAGGATAATTATTTATAGAAATATATCCAGAATTAAATTGAAAAATCGACAATTAGTGCTATTCTAAGCCCGATTAAAGTGAAAAACGTTACAAAGCTGTCATTCCTTGGGTCATTCTGCACAATACAAATAATTATTTTGGTCAAACGGGATGCGGGAATGATCTGAAAATTCGCGCACAAGTTATTCGTTCAGACGAATTATTTCAAGGCATGTCATGTCAAAATAAAATCCCAGAAAAAAGAGCATTCCTATCACAGAAGACGATGTCGCTTTTATATCCCCATACTTTATCTGAAATGGCATTCTTTTAATATTTTCAAAGAAACATATTTCTGATAAAGATGATATTTTGCGAGAGTATTCGATATGTTAGAAGATTGAAATGTAACGTTAAATATCATTCAAGGCTAACGTTTGTGTATTACACCATTTGTTAAAGAAAAAGAAATCAATTAAGATATAGAATTGTTCAAACCATTTGTTTGGATGCTCTTATTCTCTCTAAAAGTTTAATCTGAATTTTTTTGTTACAGAATGAACTTGAGCTTGAAAGCCATTAGTTCTTAAATCACATGGTAAAACGTTGATCATCTATTTTTATTGTTCTCTGCAAAATTCTCTGGAAATATGCTATTATAATACTAGGAAGTCAAAGACTTTATCCATGAAGCGGGCCCGGGCTTTGGCTTGCCCGGCTATAGAGACTACATGTGTATATCTAAAAGAAAATCAAATAAAAACAATTAAGAAATATATAGATTTCTATTTTAGTGAAATTTTCAGTGTCATGTTAGTTGTGCGCCGCCATTTTCAATGTAACTCAATGATAATAGGCGGAGTATTCCGTGAACGGGACAATCGCAACTTTTCGGCTTAATAATAATCGTCGGGGTGCTTCAAGTGAAAACGGAAGCTATGCATGAAATGCCGACTGACGCCTATAATACGGAAATAGTAAAGTAAAACATGAACGACTTCCCCTCTAATTTCAGATTATTTGTTCTTGAATTTCATTGTAAAAGTCGTTTAACCTGGAATTGCCTAATACCTACTTTATTCTAGAAAGATATGTGTTATAAAGTGAAATGTTCAAGAATAATTTTTGTTCTAGAATTACATTGTTAAAGTCAATTAGTCGAGAGTATGTACAATAAGTTTTATATTTATTATCTTAATATAGTTAATTGTTATACAATATCATTTGTTCTAGAAATATCTATTTGTAGAATAAATTTTGTTCCAGAATAAAAATGTATTCGCAACTTACCAGAAAGCACCTATTTTTTCTTGACATTAATCAAATCAGCATTATATACATGCATTGTCATTTTTTCACATTTTGCTCAGTTGTTTGAGCGAAATTTCCATGCAACTTTATACACAATTACCCCGTCCAAGTTGTCCTTGTCTAAACTTTCAGTTTCTTACACCATTTAAAAAAACAACTGACAAACCATCTTAAAGATAATATTTTAATTTACTTTTGTTTGGCCTTTTTTCTTCTCTTCCTTTAATCTTAAGATAGAATAAAACAAAATATCCGAGTAACCTAATAATTAGAATGTCAGAACAACTTGTCGCCACTTCAAACTATAGATTAAACATGGTTTCTATGTTAGAAAAAAGCGTAATATTATTTCATTTCATAGATAAGCCTAACTTAGTTTTTTGTGCGCAGACACTATCGTAAAGTTGTTTGTTTTTAGATTGATAACTTTGTACCTGTTATCAGCGCACACTTGCATTTCAAGTCCTTTTTTAGATAGTAAATATCATTTCAATATGCAGATTTATTGCAACGTTTATGAACAAAACAAAAAACACTCACTGCACAAGCATGTATAAAAATGATCGTAAAAATGATGAAATTAAAAAAAACACACACAAAACCACTAACACACTAAAACTAAAAAAAAAAAGCTTGGCGTGTCTTTTCATTGATTTCTTCGTTTTATTTCAGTTGATAAGCCATTTACTCTTTGAATAATACGATGTCCTTTTCGGACATATTGTATACATTTGCTGCTTGCTACAGTTTTGATTTATCTACTCTTGAAAATTGACATAAAATAAGAAAAGAAATTCACGTTCAGTGGCAGATTACTCAAAAAGTTGTTTTCATAATTGTGTTTCCTTTAAGATTCCCTCCGATAATCTTGCAAAGTTTAAGAAAAATGTTCTGCTCACCTAGGTTAGAGTTTTCTTCTTTTTCTATGTTTAAAAAATGAAGAAACTATAGGGAACACCTTAAAGCAGTCGCTTGTAATATGCAACCTGGACTTTTCTTTGAGAGCGCTTAGTTTAATATTCAAATTTATTTATTTATTTATTTATTTATTCATTTATTTACATTTATTTATTTATTTATTTATATATTGTTTTGGAAGCTATAAGCTTCATGAAACACACTTCTGAATCCGTTCCTGGAACCATTCAATACTATATAAGCAATGAGTGAAAAGTGTCTTGCTCACAGAAAAGAAGTATTGCTACTCCTACGCTGTCAAAAGTGTGTGTTTGATTGAGTTTTTTTTTTTTTTTTTTTTTTTTTCATTTTTTTTTCTTGTATTAGATCTATATAACAGATTGAATATTTCTCTTATCTATGTTCATATGTTTTCTAAAATCGAATGATCTGTCAAGTGATCTAAATAGAGATTTTAACTGTATTTGTTTTGTTGGCAGTTTCAAATTGATCATTTATATTGATAAGATTGTAAAAAAGTGCATAACATTCTCACGACTTCCTAGTTCTTACGTCGCACCGTCTGGAATTCGTTTTGAAAAATTGAATGTTTCTCTTATCTATGTTCCTATGTTTTCTAAAATCGAAGGATCTGTTAAGTGATCTAAATAAAGATCTTAACAGTATTTGTTTTGTTGGCAGTTTCAAATTGATCATTTATATTGATAAGACTGTGAAAGAGTGGATAACATTCTCACGACTTCCTAGTTCTTGCGTCGCACCGTCTGGAATTCGTTTTGAAGAATTTCCAAATTTATCTTTAAGTATCTCTTAAAGGTGCATTATGCCTCAGGAACGAAAAAACAACGTTCTGTCTTAAAAAGGGCCTGACATTTGTTTATAACGTTTAAATAATGGGTCTAGGGCATGTTAATTCCTTATCACCTAAAAAAAGTAATACCGAATGTAAAATTATTTATGATTTAAGTAGCAAAATGTAAACAAAGTAGTATTTAGACTTCCATACAAAAAAAAACTTAACTTCTTTAACCGTACTTATTACCAACATGCAAGAGCAGCAAGTCTGTTAAGGTAATTGGTCACTAAATAACTTTTTTGACACTATTACAGACTCCAAGAATTGAAAAGCCTTTATGAAATAAAAATAAAATCATTTCTGGGGCATAATGGGCCTTTAATATAATACTCATAAGAAAGACCGATAAACATCTGTCATAGTTTAAGTGTCACTTATTATTTTACTGCGCAGACTGCAGTGAGTTTCTGATACAGTCAAACATACGTTTAAAGACACCAGTGCATTGGCCTGATAAATATTGTGCTTGGAGTGTCTAAATTTTGCACACCGTTTCCATGTGTTGTGATAAAAAATTGTGGTTTACACTTTCCGGTTATGACGTATAAACAATATTTCTTTGAATTTTTAAACTAAAACAACGATCGATCACGACGATTTCCGTTGAGGCATTTAAAACAAATCGAAATATAGTCTTTATTTCTATTTTTGTTGTTGATATTGTTGTTGCTGTTCTATTTGATTATTAACCTTTTCCCTTATATAAGCGTGTTTCGACGGCTTTTTGCCCCCCCCCCCTTTTGAGGCCTCAAACAGTGAAAAAATGTCCTATTTAGACCCCAAACACTGTTTTTCGTTTGAGAAATGTTGTTAAAATAAGTGACCATTTTTTC